GAATCTTGCCGTGAAAACAAATTCAGGATTGATTAAAAACTGGAGGACATCCCGATCAACTCGAAATTTTTCTTTCAAATCGTGAGTACAAGCCGTATCTTCCGTTTAAGACATCGCGGGGCGGAGAGTTTCTCTTGAGCTCGTGGGACCCGGGGTTCTTTCTACAAGTATTCACACTGCAGCCACCCACATCAAAACACTTTACGAACGATTGGAATTTTTCGCCTAAAGAGGCCCTTCTCTGGTGCAGCAAAATGTTGCCATAGAAGTTGAAGAAGTTGTGATTCTAGGTTGGAGTTAAACCCGTGAACGCGGTTGAGGTAGTGGTCGACGATGTCGAGGATATCTGTCCTGATCCATTTCCCCTTTCATAATCCATACGCTCCTCTATCTGGGACCCCACAGCTTACAGTCTCCAGGTCTTACTCCCATCCTGACTGACATCCCAACTCACTAGTCGCGAGTGTTACCAATCTTTCCGAGGATACACCGTCAACCGCCAATTCCACCCATTACGTAGAATCCTTCTCCTAGAGAGCCCTCTCCCTGCTGAGGAACTTGCGACAGTGTGCCCCGCTGTTGAGCTCTGTAGGGAACCTTCGATAGAATTCTGTGTCCCGCATCGACCTTGCGCGATTCTCTAGCCAGGGAACCTTAACGAAGCTTCAGTAGAGCTCCATCTAGGCAAAACTACAACGGGCTGAAGCTATCGATCGTTCGAGGGGCTTAGAATGGCAGATTTTATATAGTCACCCATAAACGGGCTGGTGCGACGCAACGACGGCATTCCATGCATTCGCCGATCCACATGAAGAATTCCATTATCAACGGTTTTCTTGCTCCACGAGGAGATGTTGCTTTGTCGATGTCTGTACGTGCTGCTGCTCCATCTCAAGAGTGTGGTCCGAACTGGAATGTTTAAGCGGGGCCGGAACAAGCCTGCGTCTCTATCACAACGGAGGAAACGGTGGGTCCTACAGGCTGCGTGCTGTTGGCCGTTTGGCTTATCAGTGACCGTCGTTATCACGCTTTACGTTTCTTTTATTTGTTTGTCCACAACCTTGATGTTTCTTGTTTGTTTTGTTCGCCTTGGAGTTTTACAGCCGTGAATATTGCTTTCTGGCCAGTTTTTGCCAGCATTCATCGTACTCTTACGCCTAACCAGTGGTATTCTGCTCTCTCTTTCTTTATACCTTCTTCATTTTTTCTTGAAGGTTGTTCGTTATTCATGGAACATCTCCAATGGCTTATCGCCTACAAAAATCGTGACACACATCTACAACTTATGAATAGTTAAGTTTTTCATATTACTATGATGTTACGTGACGCTGCCAATCGATGGCTACAGAAGCCAATCGTCACGTTGTTTCTGTTCGAAGAATCGAGCCGTGCCCACTTCGTCTCAGCAATTAAGTAGTGTATAATGTAAAAACCTGTCCTCATTCCAAGTCTCATCAAAATCTGAACGTTTGTAAAGTCCCTGGTAGGCAAAAAATATCGCTGAAGAAAAAAGTATGGGAATAGTTGCACGGGAATGTTGGGTTAGGAACGAAACTCTCGCCCAGGTAGGATTCAAACCCGCACCTTTCGCTTACTGAAGCTTAATGTCACGTGCAAAAAAATGAACTACCCCCATTTTGGCTGGTTTCTGGTGATTAACTGCAGTTTTTGGCCCTACCATAGTTGGCCCTGGGCAAAATCGTGCGCGGATAGCATAACTTGAACTGCCCCTTGCTCGGTTAGCGAGAGGTGTGTGCGGTGTGGTGTTCGAGTCGCACACAGGGTGGAAGCTTTTGATCGGAACTCAACATTCTTGTGAAACTCTCCCATGGCGAACTGCGGCCAAAAACAGCAGTAAGAACCAAAAACGAGGAAATGGTTTCTTTTTTGCCACGGTGAAGCTATGCTCAACATCCTCTTTGTTGGACCTAAATTGTACCCCTTAGTTATCTATTACTACTTGCTTAGTTCGGCTACTCCAACTCATCGTCTCACTTGGTAGTACCCACAGTTCTGACGATGTATAGCAGCGTGTATTGTCGAGTCGGAAAAAAAGAAAAACATTAGGCTTAGTTTTACAAATGTAGACCGACCTGGCGTGACTCTGCTGAATGGAGGCTTCTCCCTCTTCTTTTGAAACCATATTCGTCCGTCCCTACTTGTTCTTGTAGGAGATAGTGGTTGGAGGGAGGGATGGAGGCAGAATTGGCTGAAAAATAATGTGTGCGCTTTTCTACAGGTCACTTACCAGCTATATGTACATGCTTTGTTATGCTTGAGATCGCAGAAAATCCAGACGCATTACACGAACCAAATGACCTCTATACCGGATGCTTCTTATGTGTTTGAATCTTACAATTGTCTTATGTAGCTAGGGGAGCGATGCTGGATCACTCAGGACATCACAGAAGTTTCTGGCTATAGTATGAAGCGTCGCTCCCTTCCACCCGGATTGATATTCATGTTACTAACCAGGGAGGTATTCTCCATGGAACTTTGCGACTAAGCAGATACATCGCATAGAGCTTTACGCTGATTACAATTATGTAAATCAGTACTGCAAAGTGAACCTGTCAAGGAAGTAGTGAGCACAAAGCTCGCCAGAATTGAAGCGTTACATATAAACCGTCCGGGCTTTTCGAGTCGCCGTGCGACGTAGTATTGCGCTTCGGTCTTCACCAAAACTGTCCTAAGTTCTCTTCCCGTCGGAATGCAAATTTTGAGAGCACTAAAACTGCTCCACGGCTTTCTAAAAATGTGGAGGTTAGTACGGTTCAAATGTAGCGGCTCCTGCTTCCAGTAACTTTTGACCTTGCTCACTGCTCTTTGGAAAGTATCATTTTTCATTTTATTTTTCATAGATGTAGTGGTGTGTGCATCATCGATAAGTCTCCAAATTAAAAATTTCATGTGTGCTGAATGCCTTACCTGGTAAGAGTTATAGGTAACGTCCGGGATCATATAGATGCGGTGTTGTGCATCTAAGTCATAGTGGAGATGAAAGGTGTAACGTCATTGATGAAAAACTGAAGAAACCGTTGCCAGGGAATAGGATTAATTTACCCCTCTAGCAGCAAAGCAAAATAGCACTGATTTTCAGGGGGAGGGTCAATGCTGCATCCTAAGACCTTAGCGCCTCAGCCTTGGTAACATTCCGGCAGGTGTGTACTTGCTTTCACTTCTGCACCGCAGCGCTTCTCTCGGGAAAAAGCTTAATTCAATCAGAACTCCGAAGCTTGCCTTGTATGTTGGACATGATACTTATACCTCCATAGGGCAATGTTCAAGAGCCATACTCATGCATTCGTGTCCGCAGCACGTAGGGGAGAACGTGTGCATGGCGTACACAAGGTTAGTTCACTAACAAGTCTGGTCATGGTGGCAAATGAGATGGTACCTCCCAAGTCTATCACCATGGGTTTTCTGAGATGTACGAAGGATTTGATCTGTCGAGGTCTCAAGAGCGTCCTCAATACTGTTTTTGACGCTACAGGTGAAAATACAACAACTAATACCTCTGAAAAATAACAACATCCAGTCGTATAGTCGAATTATTCAAATCCTATAGTGATATGTGAGGACTGGGAAGCCAATGAAGCCTAAAGAAATCCTCGCTGAGTCTCCAAGGAGAAGAAAATAAACATCGGCCATAACGGCGTATTAGAGCTCACAGCGCCAAATGTAGAGTTCCCTGGGGTATTCAGCTCCACTCGCCACCACAGTCTCATCTGCCTATAAATTAACCCCTTGGTGGTGTTCGGATTAGCGAAGATGAGACATATTCATGAGTATCGTAATTGGCAGTTAGTAATGGCTTGCGGATGGCTGGCCAGACGTCGCGTAGACCCGGCTGTATGGCGCGAGCTGTGCGCATATTAATCCGACCATTAGCGAAACCTCTTGAGAGGTTCATGCTTTATGAGGGAGGGGAACCAGCAAGCATTGCAGCCAAAGAGCCACTCAAAAACCCTTCTCACGGGGGAGGGTCTGCTTTCGCATGCTGAACCAAAGGAGTGCTAACGTATTCACGCCCCGGCTGGCTGCTTCGAGATCTTGACGATGTGTTCCCGGACCATAAGGTACGACTCGAATTCATTATTGGTAGATTTCAATAGTTCGCTCCTGTGCCTTTCCCATCCCGTTTTTTCTCACCAAAGGAGGCCATTATTTTTGATGAGAAAGACGCCATTTGCAATAAATGCGTGCGAGACGACCAGCAGAACAAGGCCAAAAAGTGCTGCTGTACCTTATGGGTAATGAGCGCATCCAATATCTCTTGCATAGTTAAGAATATTCCAGTTCTGCAGTTGACGGAATAGGTAGAGAATTTCTTCGAACTGTTTACGAATAAATTCCCCTTGGATGCGCCATGCATTCGACTTCCATACGGAAATGCGGGGTACTTTTATGGGTTTTTGAAAATGCGGTGATAGTTTCATTAGTATTTGACTAGCTCATCGACTTGCGCAAACCAGCAGTTGTTTGTCTTACTTTTTATTCCCTAAATGAATCTGGATTCAACACCACTGACTGACAGCTGACAGGATATTCCTGGCTCAAGCAGCATACGATCTGCAGTTGATGATGGGGGCGCATTTCACCACCCCACTATCCGTCCTTCAAAAAAATGCAAGAGAATTACGCTTTAAAGTTTGCTCGTTTCACAAAATCTCTTGAATTCTTAGAATAATCGCAAAGATTTTGGCGGTGGACTTGCTCTTCGATGGTACGCCATGCATTTGCAAAGCGCTCATTACTGTCAGTGTGATTGAATGTGTGTGAAACTTTTCTTGAAGTGTGTTGCTTTTCCAGCCCACATGCACGATATGTAGTGACGGGGCGCTCGGATCGTGGACATTCAAACGAACTAACAGGCGTTTTTAATGGAGGCAGTCTGTTATAAGCTGGCTTTCTGCCTCATCGGGGTTTCAAGAGTACTCTGCAATACAGGGCACGAGTTCCGTTTGAACGAGATTCAGCGATAATTTGGAGGAGAATAGATGCAAAGGGACCTATTCGGGAAAGGGCACGGGCAGAGGAGCAATAAGGGTGGCCGGAACGATGCGCCTTTCAGCAGGCTAGGATGCCAGCTAGTTTTTGGAGGAGCACCCCAGTTAGTCGTAGGGCTTAGGCGTACTCAGAAACTGCGAAAGCCTCGACTAGGGTGCTCGGCATAGCGGAGCCACCCTTACGGTGACCTCCAGAGACTGCCTTTTCATCTGCAATATTCAATATTGCATTCTTTCAATTATTACTTTGCCGGTTAGCTTAACAGCCAAGGTGGTCGAAAGTGGTGTAGTGGCAAGTGGCACGGCCTTATGCGCGCAAGCGGTCCAGGGAATCGGAGAAGTCCCGTTTGGACTCGCCGGAAGGCGCGCCACCTAAGGCCTCCAATGCGCGCTGCCGGGTTCGGGTTAAGAGTGGGTACCAGAACTCATGTGGGTGGTAAAAGAGACGAACTTGTCAGATGTGGGTGACCCCGCAATTCATTGTATAGGCCGGGGCAGGATCGCATTCGAAATCGACGCTGACCTGGCGTAGGCAATGTAAGCAAATGGAAATTGTCTGATACGCAAAGTGCTTTATCGTTTACGCAAGATTAGTCCCCCGTCAACCGCCGGGACCTTCCTTTCCTGAGCAAGCTTTTTATCCTCCGCTATGGTCCCTTCCTCCTGTGACACCAACACCTCGTGGAAGTGACGCGTATGCAACACAATGGTGTTTCAAACAGTAGAAGGGACACAATCATGATGGTCGACAGAGATTTTTCGGCTTCCCTTCCTCATCCTCTCTTCCTCTCTCCACTGCCCTCCAGCTGCCACTGCAGCACCATGTGGAATGAACGGAAGTGTGCTAAGCAGGTGTTTATATAGCCCTAAGAGTGTTATCACAACTGGGTTTGTTAGTGCCTGCTACCAAACATTGATATCTTCTAATGCTGTAGCTAGGCCCGATAGTGTTATCGGAGGTTGTTTTATCGATCTACTGGAGCTTCCGCTCACTCACCGATGTCATATTTTGCGACGAGACACACATACATAACAGAGCAGGCACACCCAGCACACACACACATATCAGATACACAAACCGACAGGAGGCAGGCAAGTAGACCTGCTTTATTAAAATAGAAGATCCTTTATCAGCAAAATGTATAGTGTGACAAGTGAGTTGGGCAATACTGACGAATTGTTCCGTTTTCTCATTTACTTTTTTTGGCTGATTGAAGCCTCTTGCAAGGATGTGGCTGTAGTTAAGGGCACTCAAACTATAGAATCGAATTGTTGCGGCTTTCCTCATTGAAATATTATTTCGTACTAATAATCGTAGCTCACACCCCCCAGTACGACCCGCTGCAAAACAAGCTAAGAACACTCCTTCGTTTTAAACATTTGTCAATAGGATTTTTTTGTTGCCACAGGGGAGGTCTTTGCACGCTGGAAATCTTATTGGGGGGCTGAACGTTTGCGACGGACGCTCGTCGTTATCTAAAAAAGCCTTGACTCCACCACGTCAAGACCGCGCTTCTTGGATCAGCACCGCTTCCTTGATGGTCTCCAGCTAGCACTAAAAGTAATAGCTGGAGACCATCAAGGGAAGCTGCTGATCCAGAAGCGGTGACGCTGGTGGAGTCAAGGCTTTTGATAACGACGAGCTAGTCGAAACGTCAAGCCCAATAAAGATTCCATCGTACAAAACCTGTGTGGCACAAAAAGATTACACAACTGTTTAAAACCAAATGCCCAGGTTTCAAAGAAGGCGGCGGACTTGGAGGAGACTTCTTCTTTTTTCTTTAGAGCGCGAACCACAATTTAATTGATTAGCTTCTCGGTAATCCCCGAATTTCTTTTGACCGAGCTGCGACGTTGAGGCTTTTCGTCAACCGCAAAATGAATTGGAGAAAAATCATCGGATATGGATTCTCTGCCAAGAGAGACGCCAATTGTAAATCGTAGGGGATTTTCCAAATTTAGCACGTCTTAGGAGGACACGGAGGATTTTTAAGAACAAGGTAGTTTTTCCGGCTCAGACGTATGAATTTGAATTCTACAGGCCAATTTTCAGAATTAATCAGTTGCTCATTATTTCTTTATCCCTAACTTGAGAACAGAAAACGAGGAGCCCGTTTTAAAAACTGATGAGGAATTTCTCTGCATGTGAACTGCTTCATAAAGACCTATCAGGTTTCAAGGTTTATCAGCCTTTAACACTTCTGGAGAAGCAACACTGCAAGGAATCTGGTTTTTCACCACTTCTTCGAAAAATTGCCCTTCTGAAACCTGACCACTCTGAAGACTTTTTATTTGAGGGTCTTCTTACAACGACCCAGCAGCTTTGTAGAGAGAGTTAACAGCTCCCGATAGCTAAAATAATTTTCCATTGCACTGATACAGTAACCCTAGTGGCAGTCGTTTCAGGATCAACGCCGAACTGTTCGAGTTGTCACCGGATGGTACGAAATGGCTGATGGTGGACAGTCGAATGATGTATATCTCGGTCTATCGTAATGAGGCGGATCGAGTCAGAATTGCAGCCGTTTCACAGACCGGCAGAACAGCACTGGACACCGTGCTTCGGCAAAGGTGGGTTGTCTTTCGTCGATTGATTGACTGATCGTTGATTTTATTTACATTTTTATTTATTTATTTGCCTTTGCACTAATTGGTGCGCTATGACAACAACAGTGTGGGTTAGTTACAGAATGATCGAGAACAAACAAAAACAAAGAATATTTCTTGAATGAGCCTAACTCGGAACGTTTTGTTGATTTTTCGAACCTTTCCAGCTGAGTGTTCATGCACAAGCAACTGTGAACCTAGATGAATTATTTTTGATAAAAAATGCAAAAGTCTAAAATTCAAAAAGTGAAAATTTGAGAAGCAATAGTGAGAGAAATGGGGAACGGGACTGTTGAGAAATTATTGTTAGAAAGTATGAACAAGTTGCTTATTTCATTTGGAATTCCACAATTAGTCTTTATAAGGGTTGAATTGCCCTCCTAGGGCATTACCAGAGAAACAAGTTTTCCTTTTTCACACTTTATTTATTTATTTATTTATTATTTACTTATTTATTTATTTATTTATTTATTTATTTATTCCATTCAGGTTCAAGAGCTTCATGGTATGTCTTTATTACAAATGTCTACATAGCTTCCCCATATCCTCTTGAACCCCTAATACTATGCGATCTTTTGATTTTTCTTGCATTTTGTACCCACAATCGATTTATTGATTCAACGTGGCTGTTATGGGATTGCACCTCAAATACGCTGGAAATGCGCTATGGAAAAAGCTGGGAAAATATACTATCATTGAGATACTCAAAATTGGTTTTTCCACATTGACTTTTGTTGATTTTTATATCTTGAACTTCTTCGGCGCCTGTCGCTTTGAAGCCTTTTGAGTTCTCACGTGTTCCATGCAATAGAAAAATGGGTAGGAATTATGGAGTGGGAAAATGTGGACTGGGATTAGCATCGTCTGATACAAAAAACACCTCGAGGGATGCATTTGCACATGCAGGAGCTTTGCAAGGAAATTGCCAATCAGTTTCCACTACTGGGAAAGGATTTGATGCCGGCAACATTTTCGCCAATGAAGCGACGTCTGTGCTTTTATTTCCCTCTTTGAGTTTAGGGGCTTAATTGGGGGAGCAGGTACTCAAAAAAGACAGCATTGGCTGTGAAGAATTTTGAATGTACTAAAAATGTCCATATAGAGCTGGCTTGAAAATCAGCGGTGTCCGCTTGAAAAATGGGGCGGATTAACGCATCTCGGATGCGAATTCAGCTGGGTAGAAGTTAGTAATGATGCACTCCAACTGCTGAGGTTTTCTCAGCTGTAGCTTTTTTTTACTACCTTTTGAAAGCTAGCATGCAGAGTTAGGGTTGGGTTTACCTATGGAGTGCGCCAATGAGCTGTGTGGTCGAAAAACCACTATGAAATGGAACTTCTTGAATCTTCACGAGCGATCTTTCCCTCACTATTTTAAGGGCGGAAGTGGTGTAGTGGCAAGTGGCACGCTTACCACGCGAGCGGTCCGGGGATCAAATCCTGGGTCGTGAGTCGCCCGGGCCAACCAAGCCTTCCATCCCCGGGGTCGGTTAATTGGTACCAGACTTGTCTGGGAGGATAAAAACACTGACTTGTACATCGGCTGGCCCCCGCAAGTCATTGTATAGGCCACATCGCATTCAAACGCCACTACGAATGTACAAATGGAAGTAGAATGCGTGCCGCATCCCAAAAAGGGATTGATCAACGGCAAATGCTTTATCCTTTATCCTTTCCAAATCCTCTTTTTTAATGCTAGCCCAATGTTATTTTCTTCCAAGAGCCTTGTAGAAGCTCTTTATTCCTGTTTGCTTATTCCATTTCTCCCGAGGATTTTCCATTTTGAACGATGTTCTTTTGGACGGAATTGTGTTCCAGTGGCAAATGGACACTCCTTTAAGTCGCCATTCGATCAGATTTCTGCGCAAGGCCAATTCAGCCTTCCATTCCTCCCGGATCCAGCTATTGCTGCCCATCTATTCTGGCATTAATACAAACACTAGAATGTGAAACCAGCTGGACCTCTCAATTCATTTTGTAGGCAAAATTCAGTTCAGGATACCACCACGATTGTGAACAGAAGTAGAATGCGTGGCTCACCTTCAAAGGGTTTGGAAGCCCAATAGCTCCATTATTTTACCCTTACCTTAACATCTTTACCGGTGATTGGTTGGGCCATCGAGTGTATTGAAGCTATTGAATAAACTTAGTACGGTAGTCTATTTGGCAGTCTGCCACTAGCTCACATTTTAGTCTTGCAAAATTGCCGTACACGTCGTTGAGCGTCAGAAAACCGACAATGATGAATTCCCGTGGTAACTGGGTAAGCGTCCATTATCCCAACCCCTGGAAATGTCGATGTCATCGTACAACCTGACGTCCAATGCGATGCATTTGGCAATCTCGATGAGAGCCGGTACTTCATTCAGACGCCGCCCCTTGCCATTGTTCTGCCAAACGATCTCTAAAAGATGTCTGTCCTAGAGGTTATTATAATATGTATACTCTGAGCATATTTATCCATGTAACGCATTTTACATATAGTAACTATTTATGAGAAATCGGGCATAGAGGTATTCATTTAGGACAAGTGACGCTTGTCCTTTGGCCAATGGAACCTTGACAAGTGCTCCCTCCATGAAATTATTGCGAAATGAAGGAAGCGAATGTGAGGGAACAACTTGAGTGGCCACGGTGAATAGTGCTGGAATGGGGACCTAGGTGATGTAGCGCTCTCTTACAGAAGAGCCACCACACTGCAGGGTTTTGTTGGAGCCTCCATCTCTGCCTACGTAGTGCCTCTTCACTTGATGGGAAGGCAGATGCGGCTCAAGTTCCCATCGCTAGGTAGCCTTTTTATAAGCTCCAGAACGGTCAAGATTGGGGAATCTTTGGTGAAATTTGTTCATAGTGATTCTCTTATCACTTACTCAATCAAAAGGGATCATATTATTTCTTATCATGGCATTTTCGGATAGAGAAAACTTCAAAGGTGGAGGTTCTCGCTGATGTAGAGGGCTAACCTGGCCGTCAACTGACGGTTTACCTCAATCGTCTTCTAAAATCTAACCTCTCTCCGGAGAAATTATCACCATGTATCGCTGTCATAGATGGAAATGGGAAAAATGAAAAGTGTGAAAGCATAGTCCAAGGGTTGAATCCCGGACGAATCCTATTCCTAGCCAATCGAGCCTTGAGCCCCTGTGAGCTCCCTGACTGGTAACAAACTCATCTAGGAGGATATCCAGCAGCATCCGTCATCCTGCCGATCACCAAAGCGCTCTAGTGGACCCTGACGACAGATCCATTCGTCCCAGTTGCGTGCCAGAGTGCACCGATAAGTCCCCTTCAAAATCTGTTTTGGGGCACGTGAACTTTCATTCTGTCATGCAGAGCTTTCTGCAATATGCTTGAGCATATACCGACGGTCCTTCTCATGCTCGCGGCATAACGACAAGTCCAGTGGTAAGCGCTCCAGACCAACAAAAAATGGCTAAGAGGATAAGAGCGGCTATGTAAAACATTGATTAGTTCATTGGGTTGTTGCGTCTGTAAGTCAAATTGCATTAAGGTGTCACTACGGCTCGGAGTAGATGTCGAGTTCGTGGCGCAACCCAGAAAGTATGGATCAAGGTCTCTTGAGCGCTGTAGGCTATAGTAGCCAGCCACAGAGCCGACAGAAATACTCAACCAACCCTTTTCATTCTCTCGACATGATCGACGTGTAGGGAAAGAAATGAAAAATTGTTGTCAATCAATTCCGCTCTCTGCGTCTCTCACTGTCATCTATCATTTCCATCCTGTTAATTATTCCCGGAGGCACTTACCGTTAGCAAATAAATAGACTCGAGAGCCGTCAGCGGGGTGTGAGAAGCCGAGGCGAGGGGCAGGGAGAGGCTGGATATGTGCGTGTTCGGGAAATGCACAACAGTGTTCTAGGAAATGAGTGGAAATATCTAAGGATGAAAATAAAGATTTCGCGATTGACTAGTCCCCTCTTGGGCTGTGCCAAGCATTCCGGTACCATCCAGATTCATAGTAGCATTTTGAATTCAACGTGACGTATACAATGAAGAAGGGAGGGGAGCTTACAAACGAATTATGGTTGTCTTCCATTATCCCCAGTAGTCCGGCAGTCAGTTTAGCCCCACCGTCGACCAAGTGAAAGATCTATTGGCCGGCAGTATGCGTGCTGTAGGCGATCTTCATGCCTGGGACCGTGCGCGTGGTAAGCAGCGCCACTTGCCACTACACCACATCCACCTTGAAATGTTATCCAGTTTATTTTCTCCAAAAATATTGCTTTCCAGATCAAAAAGTCGAGAAGATCAGCGACTGCTTTGTGTACTGGCGGAATGCGGATGGACGAACCCTAGGGGTGAATACGTTGACAGCCAAGGATGCTGCACTGTTTCTCACCCATACGGCTCCATCGACCACCCCGATCACTACGATGGTCCAACACAACGTAATCGCTCAGGTGAGCACGCTGTCGTTATATTTTCCAGTTGTTCGAAAGTGTTTCTTCTCGAGTTTATGAAAAATGGAGGCTCGTTGACGCTTTTAAGAGTTGCTTTGTTATACCTGTAGATTAACTATTTCCTTTTTAATGTTAAAGGGATCCCGAGGGACTAACATAAATACGTATGTGAAAAGTTAAATTCTTTTGGATAAATGGGATAGGAAGATAAGTCACATTCCTGAGCTTCTCATAAAGCTCATTGTCAGCAGCTAATTAGTCAATACCATTCGTGTGCGATCGCAATTGTTATTCATAAGTTTTGTATCACGTCTTGAGGAAGTGTTCACTCACGCGGTAATAAGAGCTTTCAAATATCCACAAGAGATTGAGGAAGGGCTGCGTAGTGTTTGCTCCTCACGGGTAGGTCCACCTCTCAAATGAGACACCATCATTCGCTTCGTAGCATGCTTAGACTAACCTAGGCGCATCATGACGGCTGACGTAAGACACTGGTTAAGTATAGCCTAACCTGATAAAACCCAAACTTAACCTTGAGTTTCAATGATCGCGCAACTGTGGTGACCTCATCGGAGAAACGCACGTCTCTCAGGAGGATCCGTTTGGTCTATAGAGGTGGAGCGTCTTGTGAGCTGCAATTAACTGCGTAGACGGTCTTATAAGTGCGTAAGTGCGATACCTGGGAACAACCTTGCGATACCTGTTCCCTGAACCTGTGCACCTGAAATGTTCAAGGGGAGACTTTCTGTGCCACTTTTATGTAAACCCTATCAATCCCCATCATTTCCTACGGTGAAGTGTTGCCCATGACCAAGCATCCTGGTGGAGCTTTCACCACTTTCTAGTTACCTAGTGAATGCCTGCAGCGGTAGAGCTGATAGCTCAATTCTCACGAGCCATCCGTTGTAGGGATACGGTCGGTATCGCCGGTCATCGTACGGTATCGTCACGCATGTGTACTTAGTATTTATTTATTTGTGAGCACAGCTGTTTGCCGTGTTGAATATACGAGAAGATTTTTTGCCAGTTTTTTTAAGGAAAAACGACTTGCACTTGAAGTGCTGCGTATACAGTGTGCACATGTGCGTTAGTTTGTTCCCGCATTGCTTCTTTTCCCGTGAGCGAATGTTTTTGAGGGAAATCAATCTGAGAACCAAATGTCCCAGCTGTTTTTATTCGGAACTTCAAATTAAACCAACAACCCCAGTTCAGATTGGTGAGGTGACAGTAATCGATAGTGAAATCGTAGATGGCGATTGACTGAAAATGTAAAAGCAAAGCAAGCTGTAGATGAAAGCTTTTGGTTGAGGACTCCTCTTCTTCCCGCTAGAAATGGAGGGGCGTTTCGGACGAGTTGTCTGAACTTGCTCACTACATGGCTCCACTATCTCGCGCGCAAATGAATCAGGCGTTTCTTCGTGATCCACGTTGCCCGTCATTTAGTGGGTATCAGGCATCCCGTCCAACAGCTCACATTAGCTTACATTGTGAGGCTCTAGCGCCATTGTCGCGTACTTTTGAGCTGCGACAGCGGGGGTGTCCCCCAAGAGGCCCGTCGCGCGGCGAAGGAAGAGACGCAGACGCGGCAAAGGACGAGTCGCAGCGCATACTGTAGCGGTTAGGCGTCAGGTTAAATAGAGTGTACCATACTACGTCTCATGTCGGACAGACGCGATGTGA